TTTGAGTGTGTGTGTGTGTGTGAGAGAGAGAGACAGAGACAGAGAACAGAGAGGGTTTGATATGTAATATTGGCTGTCTTGTTCCTTGTTGTGTAGCTCAAGCAACCCTTCAATTCATGGCAGACCTCTTGCTTCAGTCTCTTTCACGTAGACTGTAGATTCTTGAAACTAAAGACATCTTGCTCCTATTGATAATCCTGAGTTGTATAGCAGTTTTCTCATAGAGTTATCAGAATATTTAACTCACTTATAGTTTGACTCCTGACCACTGTTCATATTTCAAATTAGCAAAAAACTGTTTTCTTATTTCTCCCCATCCTTAGTCTCTCTGCAGTGTTTAATCATGCTAAACACTTGCCCCTTTACAATAGTATTTAATATACTTTTCCATCTACTGTGACTATAAACTTTTGTTTTCCATGGCATAGCACGGCCCTTTCTTGGAGTATTTTCTGTCATTGCTGCCACTTTTTCTTCTTTGAGAGTAATAGTCATGATCATTTCTCTAACCTAAGTACTCTCTTTTTATACTTTTTCTCTTTTTACAGTTATTTATATATGTTCTTACTTATTGGGAGGGGTACTTGCCGAAGTCGATTTGTGAAGGTCAGAGGCCATCTTACAGGCATTAGTTCTCTACTTCTGTCACATAGATTCAGGGACCAAACAGATGGTCAGGTCCAACAGCAAGCAGCTTTACCCACCCAGCCTTCTCACTAGTTCTATTTTTCCCTTTTTTTGAAATTGTACCCAGGGTCTGGAGAGATGGCCCAGTGGTTAAGAACACATACTGGTCTCCCAGAAGACCCAGGTTCATCTCCCATCACCCATGTTAGCTGAGTCACACCTGCCTATATAGTCCAGTTCCAGAGGGATCTAAGATCCTGTGCCTCTGCAGACTCTACACTCATGTGCATATACCCACAGATATACACATAATTAAAATTAGTAAATCTGGGGGCATGGTTTCATCAGCTAAGAGCACTGGCTGCTCTTCCAGAGGACTTGAGTCTCCCATCAGACAGCTCATAACAGTCTGTACCTGCAGCTCCGGAGGAACTGAGCGCCTCCAGCCTCTGTGAGGAACTGAGCACCTCCAGCCTCTGTGGACACCTGCATTCACGCACACACCTACACATCATTAAAAATAATAACAGCAACAACAAAAACAAATATTTAAAAAGAAAAAGAAACTGTCCCCAAGTGTTAGAGTTGTTAGTCCTGAAATCTCCCAAGCTCAGACCTGAGACCTAGATCTCTTTTCTTGCAGCAGGTCCCAGGGACTCACAGTTAATTCCCAGGTTCCTTGGAATGCCGCCAAGCCTAGCCATGTTACTGTGTGTTTTCTTTCTGCAACTGTGTTTTCAAGCCCCTGGTCAATTGAGAGCATTCAGTGGAGTGAGGTGGCTCATTGTTTAAGAGCACTTGTTGTTCTTATACAGGACCTGGGTTTGATTCCTGGCACCCACATAGCTGCTCATAACTGTCTGTAGGTACAGTCCCAGAGAATCAGACACCCTCTTCTAACCTCTGCAGGCAATAGCATGCATGGTGCACATATATACATACAGACAAGACACTCCATACACAAAATAAAATTAAAAGAAAGGTTTTTTGCTAATAGAGTTAAGGAAATAGTTTAAAATTTTCTATAGCAGCAGCCTCTAACCTGTAGTTTCTGACTAAAAATGTTACCTGAAAGACCTGATATTCTTGCCCTTGGTTTTATTTCTAGGGGTGGGAGTCGACAAACCTCTCCCTTTTTGACTTCACCCTTGGATACCATCAAGGCCAGAGGATGGACCCAAGATAACATAAAATAGGTGCTCCTTTGTCACAGTGGGCTATGTGTGTCTCCGAGGGTCTACACATAATGGTCATACAAAGCTCTGCCTCCTCTTCTCACTATCCTTACTACTCTCAAACCTTTAGCCTTAAAGTTGACCCTTTTAAACTATAATTTCAGTTACCCATGGTGGACTAGAGAATCAAAAATAAGTACAGCTAGCTGGGTGGTAGTGACGCATACCTTTTAGTCTCAGCATTCGGGAGGCAGAGGCAGAGGCAGACAGATCTCTGTAAATTCGAGGTCATTGAATTCCAGGATGGCCAGGGCTACACAGAGAAACCTTGTCTCAAAAAAACCAAAAAGAAAAAAAAGTACATTACAATATTTAGAAGTCTAATACTTACATAATGTTTGTCATGATATATTGTTGTAGTTACTCTGTTTTACTGTTGTTATTTGTAGATTAATAAGCTTTATCATAGATTTGTATGTAAAGGAGAAAAGAGTATACAGGATAAGTATCCCTTATCCAAAATGCTTGGCACCAGAGTATTTTGGATTTTGGGCTTTTTTCAGACTTAGAATGTTTGTATGTGATGAGATATCTTGGGGATGAGATCTAAGCACCATTCACTTATATTTCACATATACTTATAGCAGCCTAAAAAGTACATTTTTATTTATTCAAATTTATTTTTTGAGACAGGGTTTCTCTTTATGGTCCTGGCTGTCCTGGAACTCACAATGTAGACCATGCTGGCCTTGAACTCACAGAGATCCACCTACCTTTCCCTCTGAGTGTTGGGATTAAAGGTGTGTGCAACCATGCCCAGCCTTATTTTTATAAATTTTTATTTATTTTTATTACATATATAGGGTCCCACCTGGATGCCAGAAGAGGGCACCAGACCACATTATAGATGGCTATGAGCCACCATATGGTGCTGGGAATTGAACTCAGGTCCTCAGGAAGAGCAGCCAGTGCTCTTAACCTCTGAGCCATCTCTTCAGCCCCCACCTTATTTTTATTTTTTTAGCAAGGCCTCACTATGTAGTCTTGACTGGCCTAAAACAAATTTTATAAAGTGTCTTTCATGGCCCGGCATTGGTGGCGCACGCCTTTAATCCCAGTACTCGGGAGGCAGAGGCAGGCATATCTCTGTGAGTTGGAGGCCAGCCTGGTCTCCAGAGCAAGTGCCAGGATAGGCTCCAAAGCTACACAGAGAAACCCTATCTCAAAAAACCAAAAAAAAAAAAAAAAGTGTCTTTCATGTACTTGGATTTGGTTGTGACCTGTTACATGAGGTTAGATTACATTAAATTACCCCTCTTAGAATCTGTCAACAGTCAGAAGGTTTCAGATTTAGGGGCATTTCAGATTTTAGATTTTTGGATTAAGGATGCTGAACCTGTGTGCAGAGTTCAGTGCTGCTCTCTCTTTGTCTCTCTCTGTCTCTGTCTCTGTCTCTCTCTCTCCCTCTCTTCAGGGTTTCTCTGTATGACAGTTGACTGTAGACCAGGCTGGCCTGGAACTCAGAGATCTGCCTCCTGAGTTCTGGAATCAAAGGCGTGAGCCACCATGCCTAGCTACTTGCAGTTTAAAGCATTTGCTGGGACAGCTTGGAACGTGTCCCCTTAGTTAAGGGCAGTATTATAGTCTCCATATTGTTATATTAGTGTTTCTAGTTTTTATCTCTCTCCTTGATTCTATGTAAAATATTGCTTAACCAGTTGAATTTCCTGTTTTCATAAAATTGCTTTCTTTGTATCAGTGGCTTTAATTCTCCAAGTTTTCAGCATTTTAATGTGATATTGTAATTAGTTTGTTTATATTTTCTTTTATTATCTCCTTGCTAGAGTATATGCTACAAGCAGGCAAGAATTGACTTGCTTTATTCATTAATGTATCTATAGCTCCTGTTTACAGTGACTAACACAACAGCAAGTGTTCAGTAAACATTTAAAATCCATGTGTGCATAAATGTTATTGCCATATGTGTTTCCAATAGATATATGAAAAATAAAAGAGTACACATGTGAACAACACCACATTAAATCCTCTGTCACACTTGATTATGTCTTCTCCAGTACAAATCTTGGCTGTTTTTGGATCCTGTTGATAGATTCAAAATGAAATTTTCTTTTTCCTCTCAATACTACACAAACCATCTTAAGTCTTCTCACAGTGCAGTGGCTGTTTTTACTTTTTCTACTCTTAGTTTATGACCCATTTGCTCCTTTGTACCTGTGGGTTTTGTATCTGCCAATTCAACCAACCCCGGACTAAAAATATCCAGAACTGTGAGGTGTGTGCCTACAGTCCTGTCCTGGGTGTGTGTGTGTGTGTGTGTGTGTGTGTGTGTGTGTGTGTGTGTGCACACACCTACAGAGTTCCCTGGTGGGTGTGTGTGTGGGTGTGTGTGTGTGTGTGTGGGTGTGTACATAAGAAGAGGTGTTAGATCTCCTGGTATTTGGGGAGCTGAGCATGGGTTCTCTGCAGTAGTGGTATGCGCTTTAACCAGGACATAGCTCTCCTGCACCTTTATTTTTTAAGTCAGTACCTTGCTCTAGAGCACAAATTGACCTTGTACTTACTGTGAGCCCCAGACTGTCCCCAGGTTTCCTGCCATCCAGGTCACTTGCCTCAGTCTCTCAAGCACTGGGTTATAGGCATTTGCCACCACACTTAGCTTTCCATCTCTTAAAAGAAAAACAAAAACCACTGAATCCATATGAAATATGTACATTTTTTCTTGTCATTATTCCCTAAACAATATGGTATAAGAGTTAATCAATTCCTATTTACATTGTATTAGATTTTGTAAATATGCAGAGACCCTCCCTGTCTCACAGAGCCAAAATAAAAATAAAAATAACTTCACTCTCTTTTATGTAACTACCATTTTCCAAGCCACTTAGGTTTAAATGTAAAGGGTTTTTTTTGTTGTTGTTGTTGTTTTAAGTTTGTTTTTGTTTTTGAGACAGGGTTTCTCTGTGTAGCTTTGGAGCCTATCCTGGCACTTGCTCTGGAGACCAGGCTGGCCTTGAACTCACAGAGATCTGCCTGCCTCTGCCTCCCGAGTGCTGGGATTAAAGGCTTGCGCCACCACGCCTGGCCCTCTGTATAAGTAAAACACAAAAAAGTATGGGGGCGATGTTTGGGTTTATATTGATGCTCTCTCACTCTCTTTCTGTCCCTCCACTCCAACAGGTCCTCATTTGCCAGTCAGAGGACAACTTTTGGAGTTGGTGGTTCTTTCTGCTGTGTACTATGGAGACCCAACTCAGGTTGTCAGTCTTGCAAGGCCAAGTGTGTATGCCTACAGAGTATGCTAGCCCTCTAAATGATTTGCTTAGATTTTTAAAAATTATGTGTATGGGTGTTTGTCTACATGTTGTCTGTGCACCGTGTGCATACAGTGCCTGTGGAAATGGGAAGAGGGCATTGGATCCTAAGGAACTGGAGTTACAGACAGTTGTTAGTTACAGTTTAGGTGCTGGGAACCGAAACCAGGAAGAGCAGTCAGTGCTCTTAACCTCTGAGCCATCTCTCCAGCCCAGCAGCAGTGCTCTTAACTGCTTCCTTTTTCATTTCAAACCTGGCTCTTGTCATTCCCTGATGTCAACAGACTCACATGAGGAACTTTTTACTGCTGGAGCATGGCTCAGTGGTAAATTTGCTTGCCTAGTATCCCAATCCTCACTATCCTCTCCCCGTACAAAAACAAACAAGGGACTAACTCTTCTGCTCCCTCAGTTCTCACACTGTATCTTTATTTTCTTTTTTCTTTCACCTCCACCTATCATGTCATATCTTAACTGTTTTTTCTTTAAAATTCTCCATTACCTTTGCCGGGTGTTGGTGGTGCACGCCTCTAATCCCAGCATTTGGGAGACAGGGGCAGGTGGATCACTGAATTTGAGGCCAGTCTGTCTCCAAAGAAAAACAAAATTGTTTTGTTTTTTCCAGACAGGGTTTCTCTGTAGCTTTGGAGGCTGTCCTGGCTCTCGCTCTGTAGACCAGGCTGGTCTCATACTCACAGAGATCCGCCTGCCTCTGCCTTACAAGTGCTGGGATTAAAGGCGTGTGTGACACCGCCGGCTACATTTTTATTTAGTAAGTAGTGTGTGTGCCATGATACACAAGGCAGAGTGAGAGGACTGTTCACCACATGGGCTGTCAGGTTTCTTTACCCACGGAGCCATCTCTTCTTCCTGCTCTTACCCATGTAGAACAAACAAAACCACCACAATTTACAAAAGAACATGAACATGTAATCTGTGTGGGAGTCCCCAGATTTGACTCTTAAATTTTGTTTTTGTTTTTATGGTTTTGCTTATCCAGGCAGGGTCTCACTATTTAGCTCTGGCTGTCCTGGAACTCATTGTGTAGACCAGACTGACCTTGAACTCAGAAAGATCTGCCTCCAGAGGCTGGGATTAAAGATGTATAAATGTTTTCTTAAAGATTTACTATTTTCAGTTATGTATGTATGTATAGTGGTGTGGGGGGATGTGTGTTTGCCTGCAGATGTCATAGTATACACACACATTTGTCCCAGATGGAGCTCAGTTTAAAAAAAAAAAAAAGATTTTTCTGAATAAATATTTCTTTCTGTTGCATAAAGAAATGCATACTATAACAAAATAAGTATGAATGGGTCTTTAGGCTAACTTTGAGAACTTCTACACAGCCTACACTTGACTTTTTTGTTTTGTTTTTGAGATAAGCCTTCCATCCTGGGCTGTTCTCAAACTTGGTGTGTTGATGGGACTGGCCTTGAACTTTTTCCTACTTGAGCCTAATGTATGCTTGAGTTACGGTGTGAACCACAACTTCCATGTTGTAGAATATTATTTGAAGATGTGTTAAATTTGTTTATGCTGTGGAATATTTAATGATGCAAAGACATGTTACATTTGTTTTATTGAATAAAATTAACCCTGGGGTCAGGAGGTTAAGTCAGCAACTAGCTGACAGGAAGTGGTAGGGAGGAACCATGTGTAGCTAAGAGTAAAAGGAAACCTGTTTTGGGGAAGACACAAGCTAGGAGAGGAGGTTAGCTACTTGCTATTCAGCCTCTGAGTGGGCAGATTTTGACCTCAACCTTTGAATCCTTAGTTCTATAGAGGGATAGTTCCCTTTATCAGATCTGGTGCCTTGGGGAACAGAATTCCCACCTGGCTATGACCAGTGCCTGCAAACCACAGTAGCTGCAGAGTTGCAACTGATAATTAAGACAGCAGTTGCTTAAGGGGCAGGTACTGAATTTAATGAAAAACATATCCACTTAGTAAATTATGAACACTTTCAGTGCTACTAGGGAATACTCACCAATATTAATTCATATCTAACTTTTTTTTCTTTTACCAACAGCATGGTGTCCCATTTTATATAAGAACCAAGGCCATATGTGGCCTTTAGATTGTTTTCAGCTTTTGGCTAACTTAAACGTATGGAGGCTGGAGAGGTGGTTCAGTGGTTAAGAGCATTTGCTGCTTTCTCAAAGTATCTGAGCTCAGTTCCCAGACCCACACCAGGCAGCTTACAGCCACCTGTAACTCTAGCTCAGATAACCCAGTGCCCCCCCCCCCTTTTTTTTTTTTGATTTTTCGAGATAGGGTTTCTCTGTGGCTTTGGAGGCTGTCCTGGAACTAGCTCTTGTAGACTAGGCTGGTCTCGAACTCACAGAGATCCGCCTACCTCTGCCTCCCCAGTGCTGGGATTAAAGGCGTGCGCCACCAACTCCCGGCTCCCCAGTGCCCTCTTTTGGTCCCTACAGAAACATGCACACAGTCACAGAGAGAGACACATACACATAAATAAAAAATAGTGCCCTTTGTATCCACATGTTCTGATGTCTTTATAATCTGGTTTCCTAAAAGTTTTGTTTTTTCAAAGTCTATCTAAATGAAATTTGTCTTTCATTCTTCCTTGCTCTTTCCTCCACATTCTTCTTGCTCTGGCCCCTTTGTAATCTGGTTCGTTTGCTGCTTTCGATGTTTCCTGTGCCTTGTATTTCTGAAGAAAGCCAACTCTACCTCGTCTGTCTTGCATATGTTATTTAAAAAAGAGGCAGCAGCTCCTTGAGGGCAAGGTAGTGTGTTAGTCAGCCAGTGACAGAGGATGGAAAATTGATGCCTTATCTGAGTGTTGTTGCACACCTGTAATCTTGGCACTCGGGAGGGGGAGGGGGAGAATTCAAGTTGAAGGCCCACTTTGTCTACATAGTGAACCCTTATCTTGCGTTAGGTGGGTGGATGGGAGTCGGGGGTGTGGTGTATATTTATAAACACTTCTCTCATCTTGGAAAATGTTTGACAATGAGAGAGACTAACTTCAACTTAATTTCTCTCATTTCAGGCAAGTACATTGCCTCAACACAGAGACCCGACGGGACCTGGCGCAAGCAACGGAGGGTCAAAGAAGGATACGTGCCCCAAGAGGAGGTCCCAGTGTGCGTGGTTAGGCTTAACAAGGGGTTATTTAGTGGGGTCCCTACACGAGTATAGCATATTGTGCCTTCGAGTTCAGGGATGATTCGCCTGAGCCCCAAGGAAATGGAAGGAGGCACAACGTTCTCAGGAAGGAGAGGAAGGAGCTGGGATTGAGGGGTGAGTGAGGGCTCCCCCACCTAGGCTTGTTCCTTTGACCTCTTCAGATCCTCTAGACAGCAATCCAAGAGCCAGAGCTTTGAGTTCTAGAACTTTCCTAAAGACCAGGGAACCCGAAGGGCAGAGGAAATGGGAGTGCAATGGGAAGGAAGTGAGGTGAAGCCTGGGGAGGGAGCAAGGCGGCAGCGGCGGCATCCTTGAAGCTCTAGCGCTCTGTTTCCTGCAGCTATGAAAACAAGTATGTGAAGTTTTTCAAGAGCAAACCAGAACTTCCTCCAGGGCTGAGCCCTGAGGCCACGACACCCGTCACCCCATGCAGACCCGAAGGTGGTGAAGCAGGCCTCTCCAAGACAGCCAAACGCAACCTGAAGCGAAAGGAGAAGAGGAGGCAGCAGCAGGAGAAGGAGGCGGAGGCCTTGAGCAGGACTCTTGATAAGGTGTCTCTGGGAGACGCCGCCCAAACACCCAGCGCCCTCCAAGGCTCCCAGGCCTCCCCTCTAGCTGCCCCGGATGCGTCCGACTCTGCTGCCACCACAGAGAAAGCCAAGAAGATCAAGAGCCTAAGGAAGAAGCTGCGGCAGGTGGAGGAGCTGCAGCAGCGCATCCAGGCTGGCGAGGTCAGCCAGCCCAGCAGAGAGCAGCTGGAGAAGCTGGCCCGGCGGAGGGCTCTGGAAGAGGAGCTGGAGGACTTGGAGCTGGGCCTGTGAGGTTTCAGGAGCAGGGGAGTGGACTGCAGAACAAACCATGGGGTGCTCTGGGGTCCAGGGAGTGTGGGCCGCAGCAGTCAGGAGGGGCACCCCCATACTGGCTCACTTCCACCTGTGGCCCAACTCCGTCCTCCAGAGCCCTAGGCTCTCCTTCATTCCTTCCCCCTTTCTTCTCAGCTCCTATTTTTGGACTTTCCCCCTCCCATTCCCAGTGTTCAGGTTCTCAGTGACAACCCTAGGTACCTCTGCTGCTGATCTGGGTGTCTTGTTGGAAAGAAAACCGGGGGGTGGGAGGCTGTTAGAGATCTGAGATTGAGGGTACAGGAGTACCCCAAGTCTTAGAGGCTTCGTTCCTGTTCGAAGTGTATATGAGTTATTTCCCTGGCCATCTTGAACCTCTTCTTCTTCTTCTTCTTCTTTTTTTTTTTTTTTTTTTTTTTTTTTTTTTTTTTTTTAAGAAAGTAATAAATTCAAGTAGACAACATGTGGTCAGGCTTTGGCTCTGTTCTCAACTCTTGTCAATTTGGTGAAAGAAGAGCTTAAGTTTAAATTTCTTAATGGGTGCTAAGGATTGAACCCAGGGCCTTGCACATGGTAGCTCTGCCACTGGTCTACATCCCTGGCCTTTGATTTTTTTTAAAATCTGAGTGCAGCCGGCCATGGTAGTGAACACCGGTAATAGTACTCAGAAGGATCAACAAGGTTTCCAGGCCAGCCTGGGCTGCAGGTGTGACTGTCTCAACAAAGAGAAAGCAAGGTGTGACAAAGTTAGACCTCAGTAAACACGTTAGTGTTGTTATCTATTGAAGTTTAGAACAAAGTTAACTTGACATATTAATGTATGTGTTATTGTGCCTTCCTCACTGCTTCTCAAGATAATTGTGATTCATTTTGATGCCTAGAGTAGCTCTTAAAATTTCACCTTGGGTGCTGCCTAAGATGACACCAGGAACAAAGAAAGGGTGAGTGTCAAGACACATCCAAAAGAGCTGCCATTCAATTCTTGATTAACCGTGCTGCGCCTCTGGTGATAGACTAGTAGGGAGAAAAGGGAGAGGCCTCAACCACCATGCCCAGCTCTCAGAGATTGAGAAGTCCCAAGAAACCAACCCTATTAAATCCTTGCCCTCTCCCCAATCTCTTCTTAGCTTTTGGTTCTTTGGGAATCCTTCCCTTACTGTCCCCCTCACCCTAAACATACTGTGTGTATGCACATGTGTACGTCTGTGTGTCTGTGATAGCACACAGATGTGGGGGAGCCATCCACCTTGTTTTTTGAGGGCCTGGAGCTCACTGACCATGCTAGGCTGACTGGCTAGTGAGCACCAGGGAGCCGCCTGTCTCTGCCTCCTTAAACCCCCCCCACCCCCACCCCAGGGGTGAACTCAGGGCCTCAGGCTTACAATTTACCAACCTAGCTGTCTTTCCTACCAATGATGGTAATTGTCAGTGCTATTTTACATTTGTTTAGTTCTCTCAACCACCCCTCATTAGACCATAAGTTCTTCCAGCTCCTAAAATAGTTGGTTAGTTTGAGACAGCCAGATTGAAACTGGAATTCACTGTGTAGACCCAGCCGTGATCCTCCTGCATCTACTCAGTGCTAGGAGTAGAGGTGTGGGCTACTATATTCCTAGAGCCTGACAGTTAAGTTCTCAGAGATCCAATGAAATAAGGTTCTGAACCACACATAGAAAAGAACACAACTAATAATGAACACTTGACTGGGACCAATAAGAGACCAAAAGCCTTCGTTCCCTGTTGTAGGAACCTGACAGTTACTTTATATCCTGATATCATGCATGTATGATATACATACATAGCATACATTCATTTATAAGTTCCTGAAGGGTGGGGTGGGGATGAAGTTAGATTGTAGAGTGCTCACCTAGTATATATGAAGCCCTGGGTGTAATTCCCAGAACAACGTAAAGCAGCAAGATGGCTCAGGCCTGCATCCCAGCAAGCCAAGAGGAGAGGAGAGGTGGGAACATCAGGAAGTAAAGGACATCATGATTCAGGGTGATGCCTGAGTCTTCACTGCTAATTTGAGATGCTTTTAAGAGAGTAAAGGTTGTCTCTGAGGAGACACACCCACGTGGCAGGATTCCTGGATATAGTGATCTACTTGACCCCCTATGCTGGGTAGTTTTATGTTAACTTGACATAAGCTAAAGTCATCTGAGAGGAGGGAACCTCAAGAAAGTACTACCTCCATAAAATCAGGCTGTTGGCAAGCCTTTGGACATTACTATTATTTGGTTTTTCGAGACAGGGTTTCTCTGTGTAACCCTGGCTGTCCTGAAACTCGCTTTGTAAACCAGGCTGGCCTCATGCCTCTGCCTGGGATTAAAGGTGTATGCTTTCCCTGGGCTGGTGGTCCTGGGTTCTATAAGAAAGCAGGCTGACCGAGTAAGCCACAAGGGGCAAACCAGTAAGCAGCACCCTCCACGGCATCTGCATCAGCTCCTGACTCCAGGTTCTTGCCCTGTTTGAGTTCCTGTCCTGACTTCTTTCAGTAATGAACAGTGATACAAAAGTGTAAGACAAACCAATAAACCCTTTCCTCCCCAGCTTGCTTTGATCATGGTGTTTTGCCGTCCCACGCTACAGAGTCTTATCTATTCCCGACTGATGTCTTTGGAGCCTAGCTGAATGGCCCTAGGTTCTTCCCTGAGTCAAGTGCTGGACCAGGAAACTCCTAGCTGCCCAACAGTGATAAAGACACAGACATCTTGTCATTTCAGGAGGGCACTCAGTCCATGCTGGAGTCTGGAGTCCACGGTTTATTCAAGCATCCTCTTAAGTAGCTTTCCAACAGTGGGGGTGATATCAGAAGACATCTATTATGTATAAAGCTGATATCAAATATTTCCTTTAATCCTAGAGGCACCCCTAAAAACTGCACGTCCTTACCAGCCTCTCACCAGTCCCTCAGCACATACAAACAGCCCTCAGAATAGGTGTACGAATACCCAGGGCCTAGGTCTGTTGTTAGGCAAACTAGGAGACATTCTCCACTGAGGCCAAGCCATCCATCTGGTGGTAATCAGCCACATATCTAAAAGACAAGGTGAAACCGGGCAGTTGTACATGCCTTTAATCCCAGCACTCGGGAGGCAGAGGCAGGTGGATCTCTGTGAG